TGAGGTCTCTTTCCCTCCTTACAGCCTTCTCCTTCTCTTTCCTGTGTTAAAAAACACAAGAACAAAAAGCAAACAAGAAAAGTTCAAGGCCTGCTTTTGGGCTGAGTATCTGTCGGCCGCTTGGTTTTAAGTAGGTACTGTCTCTTTAAATTTCGAGGGGATCTATGCACATGCATAGTAGAACCCTCCGAGGGTGGGGCTGGAGTATCCACCAGCTCAGGGACCCCTATAGTCACCAGAATGGAGGTACGCAGACAGCAAGGGACCAACAAAAAGATACCAAAAAAAAAAGAAAAAAAAGTATGTCCACACCTCTATCTCTTCGGCTCTGTCAGGCGTCCGTGGATGCTCTGATCCTTGCCCCACTTGGCCCCACACAAAATGGCTGCTCCTGGAACAGCTGAGCGTCCTGAACCAGGAAGCAATTGATTTCTTGCTTCTGCCACAAACTCCCCAGCTGTAAGTCTTCCAACCTTCTAGATATTCATTTATATGTGGTTCAGAGTACTGGGACCATTCCCTGAGCCTTCTTGGTCCTGTATTCTGTGTTGTTCTCAGCAGAGCTCTTCACTACACTTCCACCCGATCCGCCATCTTTTTCCGGAATTGACAAGTCACTTCTGATTCACAGATGTACCATTAGTATATAACAGCCTAATTTCTTATAACAGTTGCTTTATATTGCAAAATCTTTGGGGGATGGTACTTGGTGGTTCTAAGTGGGCATTAGGACCACAGCAAGAGCTGTGAGCCTAAAGCCAGGTTTCTTGTCCAAACAGTGCAGGGCCTTCCAAAGCATTCTGATGTCAGAGATGGATTCCATTGGGGCATCTCATCTTTCTCTCTCTCCTGGGTTTTGCTTATTAACTAAGACTCTAGCTACCAATGGTCCAGACTTGGACTACCCAATACAGCAACCGCTAGTCATGTGTGGCCACTGAGCACCTGAAGTGTATCCCAGTCCACACTGACATATGTATACGTGTGAAATGTACAACAGAGCCCAAAGGCTCAGTACAGAGAAGTATGCGAGATACTTCAGTAATAACATATTGATTATACACTGAACTCATGACATTCTTCGTATTCTGGGTTAAGTAAACCAGTCTCTTGACATTGGCTTCTGCTGTTTTTTTTCTATTGTTTTTGCATGGACATTAGACCATGTAAAGGTACCTGTGTGTCTTACTTTATGTTTCCACTATGCAGTGCTGGTCTGGACGCTAGACTGATGGGTTCTGTCATTTTCCCCAGGTCAATGGGCAGGATATGCCCTTGGAGGAAGTGGCACTTGTGGCAACTCCACATAAACTCCCAAACCTCCATCAGGAGTTACCTGAGACCCACGTTCCGGGACCTTCCCAGAAGGCCACAGTGGCAGAGGTGTGGCTCCCACAGGCAGGGACACATAACCTGAACTGTGGTGATGTTAGGAAATGTCCACCCTTTCCTGAGCCAGGTAAGACCTAGATCCATCGTTTTGTTTCGTTCTGTTTGTTTCTGTTCTGAGAGGATATGCTCTTCTGGATTGGGTTTGGGATAGAAAGAGTGATTACCTAATGGAAATGAACCACATGCTTGAGATCAAATAGCATTTGGTTGTATTATACTTCTTGGAACATGATAACATCAGCAGTTTGTATTTGTCCTCTTAGGTTTTGATACTGAGACAAAAAATGAAGAGAACATTTCACAACAGAAGAATCTGGACGGGAATGCTCTTCTTGCTCGTGACTTACCTCCAGACTGTGAACAATTAGATAATAAATGGGTAAACCTTCCAGGTTTATCCAAGCTTGGAGATGGTCAGAACCACCCTGTAGGAGAAACCCCTAGAAGTTCTAATCTGGAAGAGCCTGTCACCCTTAGACCCAGTAAGGAAGAGGGTGCAGGAGAGAAACCTCACAAATGTTCTCATTGTGGTAAATGTTTTGCTCGGAAGTCACTACTTACTGGGCACCAGATTATTCATTCAGGAGCAGAACGTCATAAGTGTCCTGAATGTTTGAAAACCTTCCTTCGTAGGTCAGACTTTAACAGACATCAACGAATTCACACAGGAGAGAAGCCCTATGAATGTACCATATGTAAAAAGCGATTCACTAGGAGGTCACACCTTATAGGGCACCAGGGAACTCATTTTAAAGCAAAAACATATAAATGCCTGGAGTGTGGGAAATATTTTCATCACACATCAAGTTTTCAAAGACATCAGAAAATTCATACAAGTGAAAGACCTTATAAATGTAGTACTTGTGGGAAAGGCTTTATTCGACCGAGTGCTCTCACTCTGCACCAGATAACTCACACTGATGAGAGACCTTTTCAGTGTAATTACTGTGAGAAAAGCTTTAGACACAAATCAAGTTTTCTTATTCATGAAAGACTTCATACAGGGGAGACACCATACAAGTGTAATTATTGTTCTCAAAGCTTCAGACAGAGATTAAGCCTCACTATGCACAAAGTCACTCACTTAACAGAAGATTTCATGAAACACTTGAAGGAATCCCCTCCTTCAGAAGTTCATAGTGGTGGTGGTGCTGGTGATGGTGGTGCTGGTGCTGGTGGTGCTGCTGCTGCTGGTGGTGATGGTGATGGTGGTGCTGGTGCTGGTGCTGGCGGTGGCGGTGGCGGTGGTAGTGGTGGTGGTGGCGGTGGTGGTGGTAGTGGTGGTGGTGGTGATGTGCCCGGAAATGGGTTCTGACTCATAGCAGAAGTTCACAGTAGCTTTTTAAAATCTTAACTTGCAAAAATGAATTTGTCTTGAAAAAACAGTTCTGTTTGAGCTGTAAGATTAGCCTCCCTCCCTTCTAGAGACCCATTTTCCAAGTAGTATGCACTATTGAATATTCTGTCTCCATAGTGCTTATGTCTTCATTGCATTGATTAGTTATTGTTGTTGTTAAGTGCATTTGAGTAGGCTCTAACCCATAGAGACCCTGTGTAGGGTTTTTGAGGAGCATCTGGTGAGCTTGCGGTTGAACCTTGAGGTTCAAACCAAATTTGCAGCCCAGCACATTTACCCACAGCATCACACCAGGACTCCTATATACTACTTAACATTTCAAAGAGATAAAGGCATATACAAATATGTAAAAAATAAGGTTTATAAGTACCAGGTATGTAAACTTTAATATGTGCTATGAAAAATAAATGAAATGTTTCTAAGTGCATGGTGTACATATAGTGTGTTTTCATAAGTACCATCTTATTTTCATTTCATTAATTTATGATAAAAACATTTAAGATTATTAATATTTATGGTTTTATATATATATATGGATTCGGGCCCAGATTATGTATTTCATACATAATTTTTATTAATTGTTCATAATTTCATTTTCATTTTTCTGCCTCAAGAGTTGGGACAGTGTTGGCATTCTCTCTCTCTCTCTCTTTTTTTTTTAATGCTTTATGTGAATTATGTGATAGTTTACATGGGAGAACATTAGCTTTACAATTTATCCTATCGTCTATCATTTCATTGCCATGGTTACAATTCCTTCCATGCATCATTAACCAACCAAATGGTATACCCTGCAAGCCTGCGCCCCCTCATCCCGCCCCCATCTAAAGTCCCCAGCCGCTCCATCTCTCCATATCATCATCTCTTTTTCCATCTCAGGCATCACTACTTCTCTGGGTAGGGTCCTGCTCTCCACTCTTCTCCCTTAATGGTCCTAGGGATTTTCGCTCCTAGACTGCAAAGTCCATCACTCCCCTCCTTTTGCTAAAAAATTTCCACCTTTACATTTCCAACCCACACAATCAGTAATGGACTAGTGGTCCCTCACGTTGGTCTGGGGTATATACCAGAGCTCCTTTACTCAGGTAGTGCAGTGGTTAAGAATCGGCCTGCAAACCTCAGGGTCAGCAGTTTGAAACTACCAGCTGTTCCGCGGGAGAAAGATGAGGCTTTCTGCTTCCGTAAAGATTGACAGCATCGGAAACCCTGTACCGGGTGACTATGAGTCGGAACCAACTCCATGGCACTTAACAACAACAACATTGGCAAATTACTGAGTGATTCAGAAAGCATCAAAAGAAGGAAGGAATACTAACTGTACCAAAAAGAAATGTTGGCTGTTCAACCATTTCAAGAGGTAGCATAAAACCAATAGCCAATAATCATGGGTGCGGCTAGTGGATCACAAGCGGAGAAGCGGGTGCAGCCCGGTTTCCCCCAGACACCCCTCCCCCTCAGGATCAAGCCACACCCGTCTGCCGGCCAGGCCTACCCCACAAACTGTCCCCTGCGGGGTGGCTCTGGGCATCCTTCAGCAGAGCCCCTGCACCCAGCATGGGTAGCCAGAGCTCTAAGGCTCCTCGGGGCCACGTGAACGCCGAGGAGGTAGCAGGAGTTTCCCCGGCCAAAGCCAGCGGACATGAGAACGGCCACGGGAAGAGCAAAGGAGACATCCTCCAAGGGGGAAGGGGAGTCACCCCCTGTGAACGGTACAGATGAGGCAGCTGGGGCCACCGGCGATGCCACCGAGCCAGTACCCCGCTCTCAAAGCACTGAGGCCAAGAGGAAGGCTCCTGCCAAGGAGACCCCCAAGAAGTTCTCTTTCAAATTGAGCCGCCTGTCCTTCAAGAGAAATTGGCAGGAGGGTGGAGGTGATTCCTCTGCCTCCTCCCACAGGAGAAGAGCAGGAGCAGGGGGAGATTGGTGCCTGCAGTGAGGAGGGCACTGCCCAGGAAGGGAAGGCTGCCACCCCGGAGAGCAAGGAGCACCAGACCAAGGGGGCAGAGGCCAGTGCTGCTTCCAAGGCAGGAGATGCAAAAAAGGAGGCAGGGCCTCAGGCTGCAGAGACTACTAATTTGACTTTTAAAATCAATAATTTTTTGTAGTTAATTTATCAACTCTACATCCAATCTACACACAGAAAGTCAAAAAACAGCCTCCTCTAAGCCTCTCTTTCAGGCTGAGTGAAATCTGTTCCTTCACTCCTTTCAAAAGGACTCTCAAAATTCACTTCAACTTGTCGCATCCCAATATACTATCTTCATGAAGCTAAATGGCTGAGTCATACCCTGACAAGGTGGCCAGAGTGTCCCAGAGTCAATCCTGTAAATCTGCAATAGTGTATGTACTAAAGGAGTCCTGGTGTGGTGCTGAGGGCTAATGCGTTGGACTGATGCAAAAGGTCGGCGGTTCAAGCTCACCAGCCACTCTTTGAAAACCCTATACAGGATCGCTATGGGTTGGAACCGACTTGATGGCACTCAACGGCAAAAACAACACTTTAAGTACGTATCCCAATCATGGTTCCTTTCCAGCTTCCATTGTCTCGCCTGCAACTATCATGATTTTGTAAGGAATGCCTTTTGTTTTCCATCTTCTATAATGGACATGTGACTGAAACCTTTGGATTCCATATGGCCTCATGATGATTATACCCTTTATCCACATGATTTGTTTTTGTCTTGTCTTTGTCCTGTTTAAGACTTAATAATAAAGGGATCTTTATAAAACATATTTCAATTTGGGTTATTTCCTCACTCCCCTAAATAGAAATAGAGTGGCAATGACTTTGAATCTATAGAAGAAACACTCAGGCGAACAAATGATTTTTGGAAGGTAAGTGCTTATTTATTATAAATGGAAACAATTACTCATTTGAAAAGGTTTTATAAAGACACATCTCTTACCTGTATGACATCATCAACATCATACACAGTAGGCCAAACAGTATAATCTCAGGCAAAACCAACCAATACATAGAATGCAAACAAGTATCTTTGTAACTACTAATGAAAATGATCAAAATGAAAGCATGCTATAATATTCAATATTCGCAACTTTTCCGTTTTTGAATCTGCTCAATTTATATTATACTAGAAAGTGTACAAATATGTCTCATGAAGTAGCACTGGATGAAAATATCAATCATGTTCTTCAACGCCTTCTTCGTGGGAAGAGTGATCAAATGGTGCTTGAAATCTTCTGTAAGCTTATACTTTGTGTTTTCCAACAAGATGAGAGCAAACAATTTCCATCTCTTAAGCAGCCAGCAGTAACTCAACTTCAATCTAATTATCCCAAGTGCCTTGGAACAACCTGGAAAATCATACAATAGAAAACATTTTCTACATTTGCATGAAATTAAATGTTATAATTTTATTCTCAAAAATTCCGTCCGTTCTTTTCTCTTTTTCTGATGACTCGTTTGTATAGCTTTATTTACTTTCCTTCAAACACTATTCAACAGGAGTGAATTCCTCTGCTGTGAGTAAGGTGGCCTGAGTTATTTAGAACAGATCTTAGATCCAGTGAAATTCTATGACCCAAGGAGCAAATATTACAATCATACTAGTGAAACAAATTATTCCTACTATACAAAATAGGTGGAGTAGAAATCAAGAACCGGAGATGTCAGTCAGTATAGGAGAAGAATAATTCTCTCTTAAGCCATCATAACCCTATTTAGTGCCTGTCTTAGTTAACCTAATGCTGCAATAACAGAAATAGCTCAAGTGGGTGGATTTAACAAACAATTTTTTCCTCACAGTGTAAGAGGCTAGAAGTTCAAATTCAGAGTGCTGACTCGAGGGAAAGCCTTTCTCTTTCTGTCATTTCTGGAGTAAAGTCCTTGTCTTTTCAGCTTCCTGGTGACCTGTATCTCTCCATGTGTTTTGGCATCTATTTTATCCAAACTCTCCTGGCCTAATCTGTTGCTTTTATCTCTTGTAGGAGATTGACTCAAAACATACCCCACACTATTCCTGCCCCATTAAAAGAACATTCACTCTCAAACGGGATCTTAACCAGAGGTGGCATAAAGGTTAGGATTTACAACATATGTTGGGGGGATGTGCACAATTCAATCCATAACATTCAATCCTTTATCCCCCTGCAACATTCTTAGCCTTGACAAATGCAAAACACATTCAACACATCACATCATCCCAAAAGGCTCTCTAAGTCCAAAATATCATCTTCTGGATCATCTAAATATGGGTGAGACATTAGATATCTTCTATCCTAGGGCAAAATTCCTCTTCATTTTTCAACCTGTCAAATCTAGACTACAAGTTATTTGTTTTCAAAATACAATGATAAACAAGTACAAGACAGACATTTTCATTACAGATGGGAGAAATTAAAGGGAAGGAAAGGAAAGCAGACACTAAACAAATCCCAAATTCAGATGCATGGTTTGCATTAGCACTCAGGGCTTGAACTAATTCTCTGTTCTCCAGGACCATCTGGGCAATGGGCTTGGGGAGCCAAGAGACTTTGGCCCCACCCAATGAAACCAAGAAGGCTCTGCTTTTGTGTTCCTTCCAATAGTTCTGCTGATGTCCAAATTATTACAAGGATGGTCCTTTCCTTTTCTTGGAGGACAACAGATGTATCTCCTATAGCCTGTTTCCTGGCTATTGAATTCCAAGAGATAGGCAGTTGTCTTTCTTTTCATCCTACCTCTGACCTCTTCAGTTTAAGCTGATGGATTTTCTGCTGTGGTAGTTGGTTATATCCATTAGACACAGGCTAAATCTCTTTAACAAAAACTTGTGTAACCACGTCATTGGTGACCATTATACAATATGCATCCTTAGTTTGTATAACAGAATTTTCCAGATCATTAAGTTTTGTTTTCATTTTTTAAAAAAGTTTTTATTGTGAATTGAGTGATAGTTCACATGGGAGAACATCGTTTTACACTCATTGTTTCATTGCAATGATTACAATCCCCTTTGTGCATAATCATTCAACAGTATTTACTTCTATTCCTTCTGGATGTTTTTTGTTTGTTTTGGTGGTGGTGGTGGGGTGTATACAAAAACACTCAGAAATATATAATAATTGAAACAACCAAAGGGCCCATTCTGCAAGCCTGCC